TGCTGTCATCTTTTTCTAGATAATAAATTAAAAATATACGACATTCAACGTTCAACTTACTAAAACTCTCAAACTTTCCTAATGAACCATAGTCTATGGAGAGTCTTAAGTCAACACTCACACTAACTCATCGAATGAACATTGTTGTGGTTCAAAACTGATTTAGCATTGCGAGAGATCCTTTCATTAGTTCTGTGTTGACTTTAATATGAGCCTTGCAGTAGTAGAATCAAATTATCTAATTGAAGTCGATCATAGATTTTGCTTCATCTATTATCATCAAGTTTAATTCAAGTTTTAGAACATTCTATTTTACTAATCGCAAAACAAAACGATGTATAAATGATGTTCATTGTGCCAAAATACAAAAGAAATGGAAAAGAGCGTTTTACTGTCGAAAATATTCGCCGACATTTAGTAAAAGACGTGGTTCCTTTTCAAATTTCTGCATGTACAAAAACTTGACCTAGATCATTATTCTAGTACTAAAAAGAAATAATTTAAATTAGATATTTGTTGATAGTGGACCCTAGAAGCTGTCAGTATATGTGATTAAATATTGTGTTCTGTCTCTATAGGTTAGGAAAATTATTCGCGAATTAAAGGTTATTAAGTATACTTTACATTTTTGTCTCAACTATTTCAAGAAAAGAGAATGTACAACTACTTTTTTCTATATCAGAATCATCAATTCGATAAGATTTTTAAAGCCTAACAGTTTTACAGACATTAGAAAAAGTCGACGTAACACTAATACATTTCTGATAGAAGTACAAAGTGTATTAAAGATGAATACTTCGATTTCTTCCAATCAACCAATATCAAATAAAATAAGTTGGATTCAGTTGTTGCTTGATCTCACACATAGCAAACAGTCAAAAGTTTATCATGAGCAGAATTCAGGGACAATATTTTTGAACATAGTTACCGTTTTCGACAATACGACGATACTGAATTTATTAATTGTTCTTTTACACACAACAACATGTAGGAGACAAATATATGAATAAGGATATATAGAGCTACTAGTTAGTGTCTACATCTTATTTCTATTGTAGGTCCAAGTCGGATTGTGCTCATTTTGAGTCGTCGATAGCCCAATATTGGTTCCGACGATGTTATTTATTGGTCGCACGCTAATGTTCACACTTCCATTTGTGTTGACTGTACTAAAGAATCGTCGTGTTGATTGAATACGTCGAAGTAGAAGTGATCTGAGTTCATGTCGAAATGTTTTCGATATCATGAGATTGGTGTAGAGAGATGCCGATGTACTAAAATATATAAAAAATTGAGAAACCAAGTAAGTCAAAAAGTTTTGTAGTTGAATCTGTTGTGGAGTCTTAGTCCATTTGAATGTTATTGAACTGTATATATTGCTGACTGGTGGTGGTATATTCGATAAGCAATAGATTATGACATCGACCAGAAGCATTTTCAACAACTGATAATCGTGCTGTTTGATTCGAGCACCTGTTTGTCCAATGACCACAGGACGACTAATGTTAACATTATCTGTGTTCATAGTAATCTGTCGGGCACGCTTTTGTATCTGTCGCAGATTCTTGACAGCAAGCACGCTAAATGCAACCATTATGCCAGGTGGCAAAACTGCTCCAATAAGCACGGAATAACCAGAATTGAAGTACAGATATGCCTCAGGAACAGTACATCGGCCATTATCGATTCTGTAAAAGACAAGCACATGAATTGGTATAAGAACCCATAAGCCGACAATTATTGCGATGACATAAGCGGCAGTACGAGGTTGGCTAAAATTTCGAATACGTACATTTTGTGAACACATGGCATACCGATCGACACAGGCAAATGCAAGAATAAATCGTGCCATACATAAACATGACGATAGAAAATATGTACGAAATTTGCAATAGGGTTCAATGTATGTTGTCGGATCCTTGTAGTACACAGAATACAGACTTGTTCCTATTCCAAAATCCAGAAACAGAAGGTATGCAACAGATGCAGCAACAAAGTACATGCTACAACTATTCGAACGTAGCGTTTTTTGCAGAAATACAAGACAGTTGAGAACATTTCCGACAGTTCCAAGAGTGAGAAATATTGGCATCGAAATCAAACTCATTCTTTGTTGAATGATACTAAGTGTCGGAACGAATACTGCTGTAGAATTAGACATTGTATGAATTACTTCGACAGTGATAAACAATGTCTAAGCTCAAAAGTGTGGAAAATCGAGAAAATGTTTCATTAAGTTTTGCATTTGAATAATTTTCTCTTCTCTGACAAACGTCAACTCCAGTGTTCTTCAGTCAGAGAGTATATATTTTCTACAAAAAACATTTATGTCACCATTGATTCAGTGAGAAAACACAAACAGAAATTTTCTTTGATAAAGTCTTATTCCTAAAGTTTCTGCATAATTCATCTGCGAACATAAACAGAAAACACGCATGAACTCGAATTTGAAAGACAAGGTTACAATTCCATTCTCAATATGCGCCGACATATTATTGATTCCAATGAAAAAAAGATATAATGATTAAAAAAAAACTCGACAGAAGAACTGCATTTTAACACATAATTTTGGATTCATCTATTTTTTTTCGATGCGTATTGCCAATTCAAAACATGATTAGAAAAACACTGTTTCAACAGTGTCGTAAAAAGAAAGCGTTTTTCTCAACCAAAACGCTTTCGAAAAGCTCGATTAAAGCTGGATTTATTTCAATATGTTCAAGCACGCATTTGTTAACGCGTTTTTTATCGAGAAAATGATTTTCTCACGAGCAATGTGGAAGAGGCCTTTTTTAATTAATGTTTTTTCAAGAAAAACACGTTTTATCAAAATAGCGTTTTCTTTTACTCAGACATTCAGTTTTTCGAACAAGAAATAATAGCATCAGAAATAAAAGCTATTCTGATCGATTATTTCTCTTTTTTCAACGCATCAGAAACTGTGCAAACCAAAGTAAAATAAAAGAGTATTTTTTCAAGAATTTAACAAGTATATTGCGATGATAAACATTTTCGAAGGACAAATATGAAAGTACCTGCGAAGAAAACATTCTGCAAATTGAAAATAAGAAAAAAACTAAAAGAGTGGTGGCGTTGATTATTTATTTTCATAGGAAAAATAATAAAAAAAACTTAATTTTTAAGTTATTACTAGACTTTCTTCAAAGTGAGAAAAAAAATTTCTGTTTTAGAATATTATCAATTCCAATTAAAGTGGAAAAGTGAAAAAATAAACAAATAAACAAGCCGTGTGTTGTTGGCATAAACGAAGATTTACGATAAATTACGGTCGTCGTAAACAATGCTTTACAATTTATTACGATCATCGTGGTTGTGGATTTGGGTGTGAATTTGAGTGTAAGTGTGTGCGCGTGAATGTGGCTAGGATGTGAGGATGGGTGTGGATGTTTAGGTTTGGGTCTTCTCCTTGTTCAGTCATACCGACATTCCACACGCACACGAATACTTACATCCTCACATTATTCTGTTATGTACGAGAACATTTCGAAATTTAATGGTTTTATGACTTGATTATGATGCTCTTATCTTTGCAAATAACATAACAATAGCTTGTCCCTTTTTCTGGGTAAACACCATCGGGTAGAGGTAAGTGACAGCAATTTTGTTTACTCTCCTAACAGGACGTCATATAGATATCATTTGATGGTATTACAAACAATTACGTAGGTGAAGTTAGCACGATATTCGTTCAGGAACATGTTCCAGATGTTCCAGTGATGTCCCAAGTATATCTCGGCGAGCTCTATTTAATGGTACAATCATATTTTCCATAGGTCAAACTATATGAAGAAAAATCTAAGATATTGATTTTTCACCATAGTAATTCTAACGTTTGTTCAGTAAAAGCTTCCCATATTCGTTCAGGAACATGTTCCAAAATCACGCTTACCCGACAATAGTTTTCGTTACTTAAGAAAGCGCGAATTAATCCGTTGAGGACAAGCGCGTCTTATAAGGTACAAATTTTTCAAGTTTCAAAATATTTCAAAAAGTCTCGAACGCAAAAAGATATTGAGGTGGAGTTTTCTCTATAATGTAGAATCGATTTTGATGCATACATCTATACAGAAGTTAGAACCATAATGAATTTTGCAACAGCGTTCAATTCAATTTTTCAACTACTCCCGTACTGCCCCACGATGACGACTAAAATACTTCGAAATGATCCCCGTAGCGGAGTACAGGAATGGGTCCCATATAACTTGAAGATTTTCAAAACGTTTTGATGAAAATATTCATAATACAGAGTGCCCATATGTAATATAATCTCCAAAAGAGATTTCGTCCATAGGCAGAGCAATGATACGAAAGGGTTAATCGTCTAAAGTGTCGTGATTTTGATGACATTGGTTGAGAGCGACTCACCGAAACAAATCGCATTCATGAAGAAGTTTTGAAAAGTCGATCCGTTTACTTACTGAATGATTCATATAGAATGATACTTATGATAACAAAAGGACTGCTTCGTAAAAAACTCCTATGTGAATGACACAAAGATATTATAGTATATTATACAATAAAAACGTAACATACCGCTATCCTAATCGTTTCAGAGGCACGTTTTGTCCTATGGAAAATCTGATTGCATCATTAGATAGAGCTCGTCGAGATGTGCTTGGAACACCACTGGAACATTTGGAACATGTTCCTGAACGAATATGAGAAAGTTTTACTGAACAGGAGTCTGCTGAAGGTGTCATAGACATCTGCAGGGTCCTTCAACTGTAAAAACAGAAGAAGGAGCCGCCCATGGGCTGCCAGTAGCCAAATGATCGCACTATTAGGCTAGCAATCTACTAGTAAGGCGCTAAAGTTTTCTTGCTAATGAACAAAATCAAACTCAATGCGTAAATGCAACTAAACCTACTTTCTTCGGTGGATGAAATCTGAGATCGTGTCTTCGAAAAGTAAAAAAGGAGCTCATTGTCAAACAGCTAAAGAAACATCGAATTCAAGTAGCAGCTATCAGTGAAACATCGATGTATGACTCTGGTGTTGATACAATAGATGATTGTACAATCATATATGCAGGTATGTCAAGTGATAACAAAACAAAAGAAGCCCGTGGTGTAACAATATTCCTCGATCGACAAGCAACTGGTGCATGGAAAAACTTAGAATCAATATGGGAAGCGGTTAGTGGAAGAATTGTCATGGTACGACTCGAATGCAAACCTGTTAACGTCACGCTCATCTGAATTTATTCACCTGTTATCCCAAATGAACAAAAAGATGCGATTGAAATGGTGCATGCTTTCTATACCATATTACAATCAACAATAGAAAATATACCAAAAGATGATATGATATTAATAATGGGTGATTTGAATGCAAGAGTGGGTGTACAACAACATCAGACAGTTCATGGTATTATAGGGCCAAATACAGTTGATAAAATAAATGAAAACGGTCGGAGACTTCTTGATTATTGCTCAATAAATGATCTGGTAATTTGTAACACATTCTTTCAACACGAATTAGTACATACTGTGTCATGGATACATCCTGGTAACAAAAAGTGGCACATGTTGGATTATACCCTAGACAACAGGATGTTTAGATCCAGAGTCGAAGAAGTAGCGAGTTCATCGTACCACTGCTAGTGCAATTGGTACGAATCATCATTTAGTTCGAACAAAATTGAAGTTTCATTTAAGAAGTAGAAGAAAAACAATGCAAAACAAAATTCTCAAACTGGACAAGAAAAAACTCAAGAACGAGGAGCTCATTAAGGCATTTCAAGACGAATTGGCCAAGCGGACAACAAATACAACTACTACAAGTTCAAATATCGATCAAAAATACAACGAATTTGTCCATCGTACCAAAAATCTTAGCGAAACAATTTTTGGTCAAAACAACAATAATACAACACAAAAGAAATGGATTACAGATGAAATACTTCACACAATAGATAAGAAAGCAGAAGCTTTTCTTCAATGGCAAAATTATCGTCCAACTAGACATGGAAGAAAATATTATGAACAATATCGACGATTAAGAAACTTGGTCAAGAAGAAAATAAAAGTGAGACAAATGGAATATTGGGATGAACTCAGTGAAGAAATTGAAAACGCAATCAAACAACATGATTCATCAACCACATTTGCTACGATAAGAAGGTTCCAAGGTGGTAGAACAAATATAGAACATTTACCAATACAAGACAAAAAGGCAACATCCTGAACAATTCAAGAGACAGAATAGTACGATGGAAAAACCACTTCGCTGAATTGCTCAATGTACATTCGAATATTGATCAGTCAATATTGCAAAATATAACTCCACCAACAATTCCTATTACGGAACAAATTCGACAAGACGAGGTACCATCGTTGAACGAGGTGAAAGAAGCTAACAATAAAATGAAGAGTGGTAAAGTGCCTGGTATTGATGGTGTATCAGTGGATCTGTTGAAAGCTGGTGGTGAACCAATTGCAATATGGCTACATGAAATAATCGTCGAGATATGGGAAAATGAAGAAAAGGTTGAAGATTGGACGATTGCCATATTAATACGTATTTACAAAAACAAAGGTGACAAGAAAATATGCGATAATTATAGAGGCATATCTGTTCTGGTGGCAGCAAGCAAGGTGTTTTCACGAATTATACTCAATCTGGGGCAAGATCTCATTGATCATCAACTTTTGGAACAACAAGCAGGTTTTCGTAAGAATCGTTCAACAAGGGTGTGGGTGTGGGTGTGGGTGTGATTCATTATTGCAGTGAAATCATAGCCTCATCCATAGCCACAGCCACACCCCACACCCACATCCACACCTACTCCCACACCCTCAATTGTTTATAATCTGAGAATTGAAAAAGACATTAAAATAATTGTTTGTTATTCTTTTATTTTCTGATTTTACATAAACATGTAATTATAATAACGAAAACTGCTCTTCACATTGTTTTTGGATTAAAATTAATGATAAAAAACAATCCCATCAACTTGAACGCATTTGAGTACAATTCTGTCAGAGTGATAACTACGTAGTGATGATTATCAGTTGATCTGAGTTTATTCTGTTTACCATCGATGATGAGTCTTCTAATTGATATGACGTCATTCCAACATCATTGATTGGCAGCTCATATTTAAAACATATATAAGGCCGGGTGTAGATGTGGGTGTGGGTTTTCCCTTAACTCACTCATACCTACATCCACTCTCAATTCAGCAGATACGGTCGGTTTCAGCCAGAATCAGAGCCGGAATCAACGACCTGGGGGATCAGCCCTTCAAGCGACTCTGTAGAAAAGAAGACGTTCTCATTTTTTAGAAGTTACAGATGCACCTAAAAGAATACTTTTTACCATTATACAGAGCTCGAATTGAAGGTTCAGAAATGAACTTTACTTATCTATTGCACAATTTGATTTCTTCAAGTTTCAATTTTCTCAGTGACATTATGATTTTCAGGCTATTTTTTGGGCGACTGGTTTTCAGTTTCTCTCAGCGTTGTAACAAAGTTGTTTTTACCATTATGTAGACTATATTTCAGAGTATATTTCCCTATATTGAAACCTTGAAAAAGCACAATTTTCATTTTCACCCAAATGCTAGCTTATATGCGCACTATACCACTCCTCACTGTCCTTAGTTGTCCAGTTTTATCGAACCCTCCATTCTTCCTGACGTTTACAAGCCAAAAACTCATAAAAAGTCTGTCTGTTATTAAGGACATACATATACCAAAAATACCAATTAGTATGTGCATATCAAGAAAAAAATACAAAACACAAATTCTTTTAACAAGAAACAAAAATTTATGTTATTGAAAAGTGCTTGTTTTTAAGCAGATTGTATTTCAAATTAGCAAAAAAATCGTAAAATATAAAAAACAAAAAAAGAAAAGAAAACGAAACTCAATACAAATGGTACTCAAAAATCTAACAAGGTTTATATTACTGATGCAGAAAATCACTTGCTCGTCAATTATTTTAACACTATATTCACATTCAATTGATTGATTCAGTTGAAATGGTAAGCGAAAAAAGCTCTACAAAGTCTGATAGAAAACAAGATCTTCTAAATACTTAGTGTTTTTTGTGGTTGACTATCTACGAAAGTACGCTTTTATTACTTTTTCTTCCTCGTTTTCTGATTATATACATGCTGGTAGTATTTATTGTTTCGTTCGGTGTGTGCTGATAGATGTTTTTTGTTTATTCTCTGGCGTCCATGGTCACAGGTACACTGAATTTCAAAAATTCAATCATTCCATGGGTGGTGAAAACTGTTTTACAGAAAACTGACTGAAGGGGCATCCTACTCATGGGTTGAAGAAAAGCATCACATCAATATCTCTATTGTGCATTAATAATAATGGAGAGAAACAAAACGCATATAACGTAATTTTAATGGACACATTGAAAGAAAGAAAAGCACAGCGTTGATTTTCTTCGGCACTTATTTGTTTACACTTTCTACCTTCTTATTGTCACTCACAATACAGATACGAACGGAAGAAAAATAACGATGGTAATGATAATAAAAATACATTACTGTATGTATGTCTTTCGTTCGTTGTTTATCTTTCTTGTTTATCATAGTTACATTTTCAGAAGAAACCCGACAGAATCATAATGCAATCAACGTTATGGACAATTTTGTATTAACGGAATAAGCGTTTGTGTTTATCCAAAGGCATCAAGCATGCATTACAATGGTGGTGTTTTTTCCTGTTGCTTTTGAATTAAAAAAGGGCTCATGTCTTCAACGTCACTGTCGATTCGTCGAAACTTTATTGTCCACTGATAGAAGAAAAAATACCAAATATAAGATCCACCTTATTATACCAGTGTTAATTATTCATCACAAAAACTTGAAAGTACGACTTGTTAAAAGAAATACAATCGATACTTCTAACTATTTGTCATCATATATGTAAAATATATATGATTCCCTTTTCCATGCATATGAACAAAAATTCTTAATGGATGAATTTTGCAATCACATTTTTTTCGGAAAGTATTTCTTATTTTGAAAGTATCACATCGAATACATGTTACCTAATATTTCTTTTCAATTAATATACATTTATTAGTAACATCGTTTCTATGATACACATCTTAATAATGCCAAACTTTTCTCATTGATATTGTTGTGCACGTTAGAATTCAGCGAATGCTGAATTTGACAAAACAAAATTAGAATATAATGTGTCCATGAATCGTACATATTAAAAGAGGTTCATAATCGATATATAAAAAAACTTTTTTCTCATTTTACACATATTGCAAATGATTACGATATACGTAAATAAAAAACCACGACAGCAAGAGTGAGAGTAAGAAAAATGTGGGTGTGAGAGTGTGAGCGTAGGTGAAATAAATGTTCACATCCACGCCCATCCAAGGATTAATAGTTCTGATTGTCAACGATTGTGAACTGAACGTATAATTTGAATGCTTGTGATAGTGTTCAATTTTCTTTTCAATTAAAGAACTTTCGATTCATCTTATGGATTTCTATACGTATATCTGATAGACTTATGAGAAAATCAATCGAGATTTAGCTCATGTTTGTAATTCATCCTTAGCAACTTCTTATGTTTTCGAAATATTATCAAAATAAAACTTGAGGATATGTCTGAATTGGCACCTATGTTAAATAAATTTCTTCTTCTTTAGTAGCTGACAAAACGTATTTAGTTGAAATGAACACCAGAGAAATAGTTTTGTTTTCTGGCTTTTCTTTAATGAAGAAATAAGATGAGTGTGTCGAATTTTCTAAAATATGAATTCATTCTGAAAAATAGTAATTATATTGAAAACTACCAATTATTTGTAAACTTACAGAAAAGTTATTCGATGTTCATAGTGATTTGAATCTCATCTATTATACCTACTAAAGTTCAAGTCGATGAAAAATTGTAGATTTTTCAATGATATCAACTCCTACATATCATATGACAATAAAAATAGATATTTATGCTCCATACGAACTGAATTTCTTGTTTATAATCAATTCTTTTGTATTCTTTACTTTGAATGTTTTATAGTTGTTATGTGCTATCCTTCTCGATAGAGTGTGCAGTTGAAAAGAATTCAAAAAGAAAAATGAAAAAAAAAAATGAGGCAGAAATACACATAGAAACGATGTGTAAAATGTTGCCGTGATACAAAAACAACAAACACATCATTCAGTAAAAAACAGATCAGTCTGTCGTACACAACATTCATCGAAGTTGGAATCAATCATCAGTGAAATTAACTCGGTATAGTTGATGTTGATTACTTGGTTTTGATGAGAAACTAATTCAAAGGATTTCTAAGACTAGAAAGAGTATTTTAAACATCATAAACATAGTTAACATATGATCAGAATACTAATTAGAAATGATTTCGACCGATATGAAATCGATCACTATGATCGACTTTCACTCATCCGATCGATTGACAGTGGTTTTTCAATCAATAGTCTAGTAAAGTTATCTTGTTGCGTGTATTTGTAGGCGGGGGTGTGGGGCTGGATCTTCTCTTCAGCAAAACCCACACCCACACCCTATTTATGCGACCAGCAGGAAAAAACAGGCGTTCCAATAGAAATTGTCATCGATATACTGGAAAGGCTCTAGACCACTTATCATATGGTGTGAGAGATAGAGAAAGGGTTAAGTTACAAGAAGGTTTTCCAGACTAATTACAAAAGCTTGAAACTAAAAAGAAGTGCACAATGACCAATGTGAAAGGTTTAGACCATCAAGGTATACTCGAAAATGAATGCTAAAAGCTTCAGGCACATAATCATGTTTTATTATTAGGGTGAATGAGTACAGACATTAGAAGTAGACATGAAAATGAGAAAGGAAGGTTCATATCACATAGTAATGCGAGTCAATGTTGAAGAACATGTTCAAACTACAGAGTAATATGCAAGAATATTATAAAGAGTAGTAAGATCACTGGACGATTCATAAAAATGATGGCAAAAGGTTGCTGGCGCAAGACAGCATCGATTAGAAATTATGATGGAAAACTTGAATGTACATAGAAATTGTAGATAGTCAATATAAAACTCGCATTCACGCTGAAATATGTGAGAATATCGAGAGAACACTTAAAATCACAGAGGAATATGGAATAGCCCCGATATGACAAGATATAACATAAATAATACAAATAAACGAATGATCTATTTAGTCTTTCTATATCACTGCCTTTATTCATTCATTGTTTATTGCTGTTTGTGCAAAACTCGTTTCACTTTTCTCTTTCTAATCGATAATGCTTAAAAAAGAAGAAAATGAAATATAGTACATTGTTTTGATCATACAGATAAAAATAAAGAAAGATTCGTTATTGAGTTCTCTACAAAAATAATCACTGTAATTCTTAAAAATAATATTTTGAATCTTTTTAGCCCCGTGTCTTAACTTTTCAACCAGTTTTATTCTTGCTATCGGTGTGTTCTAGTCGATGATCTTCACAAACTCGGTTCAATTAGATTAATTTAAAGAATTTAGTTCTGAACTATTGGGTAGCTAATAATTTTTGTCAATGAACGAGAGTCAGTCATCACAGCACTGTTGTTGTAGTGATTGTGCGACTTAGTTCTGTCATGTTGAAACATTCATTCATTTTCAATGAGTTCTTTCCCACGTTTGAAAGTCACAGAAAGTATTGCTTTAGAAAAATTGAGCATGATCAATAGAGTACGTCTGCAAGACGGAGCGAAGTCACACATTTATCATTGACCATAACAACCGTGCTGTTATGGCTTATTTTCGTTCATCGGCAAGCATTACATTAGCGACTAAATAGTCTAGACCTAAATCCATTATTTTACTCAAACTGGGCTGACTTTGTGAAGATCATCGACTAGAATACACTGATAGCATTAGTAAAACTAGTTTTAGAATTAAAATGTTCCATTAGAAAAAAACTCGGAAAAATATTATCTTTCAAAGTTCCATATGTTTGATGAATCATTGTATTGTCTGTATAAAACAGGCATACTGAAATATGCTTCAAGATAAATTCAAAATACTGAGAAGTCCATTATTTATGCACCATCCATTTGATACAGAGTAGAGAGAGAGTTGCATTAAAGATCCAAATACACTATTGAACCTGTCTGTTATTTCTTTGAAGATAAAGCCTCATGTTTTTAATTAGGAAATGTGATTATAAATAAATATATTGAAATGTTTGAAGATCAAAATTATTTGTTATCATTTTGAGTGAACATAATTGTGAATACTAATATATTGTTAATCAAAAATAGATGTTTTTCTGAATGTTAACGGTTCCCATCTACCTATTCTTTACAAATATAAAACGTACTAACTTCAATTCAAATGTCATCATAAGATTACATTGGAAAAAAACTACATAGTTTGCGACAGTCAAATAGAGCTGAGCGAAAGAAGTGCATGGTAGATAGAGTCAGAATGAAGAGATCTGTAATTAGTTAAAGACCGATCAGACGTACTTTTCGTGGGTCTATTCAAATCCCTGGCTTGTACACATAAGTGATCTTTCAATATAAAACATTAAATTATTCAATAATTTTTTGTAAATTTTGCTTCGTTTGAATTCCATTTGGATCGAAAAAAGCATAAACCGATCCCAATATTTGAAATAGTCAGTTCTAGGAAATTAAAATCTCGCTGTGTCCTTAGCGTGAGATGACAAGACTTAATCATGATGCTGAAAAATTGTCGGTCACGCAGGAAAGCATCTAGGTAGAGGCAAGTAATTTCTAATCACAAAATAATACGTAAGGATGTTGAGAAAAACTTCGAAACATAAAGTCATGCACTACAGATATACATCACTTTCATGCCGCTTAGCAGTATGTCAGTTTGCTAGTGAAAGTTTTGAAGAATATGCTAATGTGTTATTTTACTCTAACAAATAGCATTGAGAAAATGATTAAAACGAGTTAAAGTCGTAACGAGAATAAAACCTTGAGTGGGGTGTTGTTCAGTCTATTTTAAGAGCTCCCAATGCATAATGCAGGATCACACTTATTCAAGAATGTTAACATGTTTATGATCAACGGTCGAAGAACAGCCTGAAATCAATGGGCTGAAATCATATATACCTCATTTAAAAGAACTAAGGTATTCAGATAGAAAAATCTAAATTATAAACGAGCATAAACAGAGGAGAAACAAACAATGAAAGACAGGAAAAATAACAATAGAGTGTACGAAGGCAAAGCTAGGTTGAAATGTAACGATTATATCCTAACAGTAGTCAATGCTACGTGAATGTTATTCTAGATGGAATCTGACAGCTTTGATGCCTTATCCTAAAATGTACTTCTCAACTCGAACTTGTTCTATCAAAGTAAAATTCAAATATCTTGTGAAACTGTATTTGATTTTTCGAACATAAAGCACGACAACATTTTTATAGTGTGATTTGAAAAATACCATACAAAGAAGTTTCAAGTGACATCAATTTTACACCATGAAAGCAAAACTCAAAAAATTAAGAAGTCATTTGCATTCGTACTCAAATGACATGTACAGATGAAGTTTTCGATTTTTTTTGGCTAAAATTATATCTAACATAAAAAATTGAACATATAAATCCATATAAATAATATGCACAGAACATAACTCGTAAGTGTTTAGACCTAATAGGTTTTCTTCATATTTTCTCGGAGTACTACAAATACAGAAATAATAAAAAAAACTATTGACCGCTATCATCTTTCTCTTTCTCATCAATACTAACATGAATGCGATGGTTGGTGGACTATATTTCTGTTTCATTCGCAATAACGAAAAAGCAATAAAGCTCATAGAGAAGATTACTTAATAACTGCAATTAGAAAAGACCGACTAAACCAAATATGATCCGAATAATCAGAAAGTCCGAAATAAAACAAATAAAAATGAGACACTAGTCTTTTTAAACACAGTCTTTCTACTAGTTAGCATTTTTCATACATGAAACAGCACTTGATGACAGTAATAACTGTGTCTAAAGTGAACAAGTACTTGAGTGAATACAAGAGATGGAATCATAATTTCATTGCAGTGAAAATTGAAGGATGGCCAGATGAAATCGACTAAGGAATAGATAAGAAGAAGAAGCTCAGAAATACGAAGAACGTGGATGTGGGTGGGTGTGAGTGTGGGTGTGTGTATGGGTGTGAGTGTCGGTATGGATGGGTGACTCTTCAGATGTTACNAAATTCAATCAAAGATCAATCAAGAGACAAAGCCAACGCCACATATACAATCAATACAAACAAATTTATGAGTATTGGTCATCAATAGTTTATTGATTTCTATTCATTAAAAAAAATTCCAATTTGGTCTGGTCGAAATTAGAATTCTAATCTCGTCCATAATAATCTTAGTCTAACTCAGAATTCCACTTTAGTCTGGACGGAGTTAGAATTCCAATTTCGTCTGGACGAATTCCGAATCGGGCTGGATTCCAACTTCGGCCATAACATATATATATATAGCTAGAGTGACTAAGTAGTTCAATAAACATTATTATTGAGGTTAGCGATACAGTTACTGTTCGAGGTAATCACATTCTCTTGTTCTTCGTACTTTTTTCTAGTGTCTTTACAAATGTATTATTATTAATAAAACCGAACTCACATTAGCAAATTACATATGACTTACAGAAAGATTCATGTATAGCAAATGATAGAATAAGATGAGTTTATTATTAATAGATTGAAACTTTTTCGTTCAAAAACTATTTTCTACAAAATCGATAGACTTTTCTGCCCATAAAAACTGAATAATTGACGTTCTTCAGGCGTTAATTGGCCGATTGGACTATAACGCACTTGAATTCAGAAGACAATCAGTTAGTATACTTATAGAGCTTCGTAACACATAGTTTTTTTTAGAAACCTATACGGTTAATTGCTTGTACCCGAAGCAACACTATCGAGGAATTTATAACATCATACAAGTCGAAAATGAAGGAGGCTAAGAAAAGTAGTTACGTTTTTGGAACGAAAAATTATATTATTAGAATTATTAGAAAGACACGATTAAAGGCAAAGCAAAACTGTATTGAATTGACTTTGAGCAACGATTTATATCAAGTTGTGTGGGAACACACTGAGTCATAATATTTTGCCATATTATTCCCAATTGTTGTAATATTCCTTAACTGGCATATGGCTTCTTAGCAAAGTAAAAACTTGATCAACATGCAATTTCCTATATACCATTGGATGCGCCATAAGTTGCTCTACAAAATTGAGTTTTTATGCAATTATGTTATTTTACAGATTAAATTTTAAGAAACGATTCATAGTTTTGGATAAATATATCATCATGGCGTCGGATATTGATAGTATCATTCATGCACCAACTTCATATTTCCTCTCGACAGTAACACCGAACGACCTCAAAAATAATCCACAGTTTGCTCAGGTAGGTTTAGTTCAATAAAAAGTTCCACAATTCAATTTTTTTATTTTCTGATTAGATATATAACTTCTTACGCGATCCTCTTGCTACTACGTTTAATATGGTACCATTCAATGGCATTAAGGATGTTAATAGAAATACTTCTCATAATGTCGTCGACCCACTCGTTGATTGTAAGTTGAAAAGTTTTTTATGATATAGGCCGATAGATCTATCCTGTAGTGTCATATTCGATAAACAAGAAATACAATTTATGTTAAATAACTTGATATTATTTAGTTTAATTGTACAAAAATTATTTTAAATGATTTCTAAACCTAAAATAGATAAAGGGAAACGGTGGAAATTATTTATTTTCTTCTTTTCGAAAAATATTTCTTCATTAACTGTGAAAAATATATGTTGTATTAACAAAATACTTTTATATACATATCAATATCGTTTTAGCTTATAAACATTCAACAACGGTCAATCCGGTGTATACTATTCCATGTAAGTTTGAATAAAAAATAAAATCGACAAATATTTATATATTTTTCAATAGCTGTACATGAAAGTCAAATATCTCATGAAGAACAACTGACAGATCAATCGAGTATGTACATATGTTATTTTTCAATAATAAATTGTTGTTGATTTTGCTTTTTGGTTTTAGAAACACAATTTGATTGTTCAAAATCTGGGAAAATTAAAATCAAAGATCAGCCACGTGCAAAATTTCGTCCACGCACTGAAAAAGAGAGCAAAGAATCATCACATTATTTACGTTGTGAAGATAATATTAAATCAGAATATCCAACCATTTATGTATAGTCTTAATTATTAATATAAATAATTAATGAGCACTTTTTATGTCCTAGATTTCGCAAGCATGGATTATGGCAGACAATATTATTCAAATAACTCTTGTTGGAATCGACAGACAACCTCATGCATATACTATTGATAATAAAGAACGTAAAGTGTCATCATTAATTTTCAAACAAGAAGAAGAACCACATTCATTATATTTTCATGTAACTAAAGAAGATTTCGACAAAGGAGAAAAAAGGTAAATCGATTTTGAAATTCTAAAATTTCATACTTTCGTATTCTTTTATTTTCTTAGTTTTTTGATTGAATATATCAAACGTAAGCAAGATGATGAAATAACAAAACAATTAATTAAAAACCGACAATTTTATCAATCAATGCTTCGTTTTACCCGTTTTTATCTAACTACGGATGGTACATATCAATCGGATGAAGCTAGCACTGAATACTCTTCTATCATGACTGAACGTAAGGAAGAATCTTTTTATTATTTAGATTACAAAAAAATAAATGAAAATTCTTTTTTTCAGATTATGGTGACTTTATGATTGAAGATATATTTCCATTATATGGACCTATGTGTGGAAATGAAAAAGTTTGCATCGAATTGAAAGGTCCTATTACAAGAAATGCCATAACTGATCTTACTATTACTATAGTCTGCAATAATATTAACTGGTTCTATCAAGTTCAAAATATAAAGAAAAATGGTAGTAGTTTGACGTTTCTTATGCCACCATTTCCTTCTAAAAATATAATTCGTGCTAAAGTTAACATTATCATTGAATACAAACAAGAAATAATTCAACAATCCGATTATATATATACAAAAACATTAGATGGTATTTATAAAAAGTCTCTCTGTTATATAAATATTTTCTTTGTATTCTTTTTCTTTCTAGTAGAATTAAATGAAAATAATTGTAATGAATCAAATTCAATGGTTGCTGTCGGATCTTCATCATTAAATAATTTCTATCAGATGCCCGATGTGTTTCCTATTTCATCTTCTACTCCAGTACAATGTGAAAATCGTGCTACAAAACGGTTTAAGACAATAAATGAATAAAAACTTTTATGTTGTTTTTTATTTACTCTAGATGCTTTTGAAAAACGAAATTCTCTTTCATACGAAACTTTTACTAAATTCACAATTCATTTTTATTTTGCCGGTAGCTAACGCTACTTTCGTATATTTCTTTAGAATGATTTATTATGTTTTTCATTAACATTTTTTTAAAGAATAAACAAGTTTATTTGTGCTGCATAAAGTACTATGAAAGTTTTATTGTTCGGTCCCATGAAAAAGCAACGTACTCCGGTACTCTTTAGAACACAGGAAGTACAAGAGTTCAATAGAAATACGAGAATACAGCAAAAATATAAAATGATAATAACAACGATGAGATGGAAGCAAGTAAGATATGGTAAGAGAACCATGGAAGTACGTAAAATACGACAGTGCGTCATTATCAATGTTTTATTTCAGCCAGCAATGCCAAACTTGAAAATGTTTTCGTCATAGATGAGACATTTGTCCAATGAGTTTTGAAATTGAATGTGAGTGAATTCAATGGTTGCAAAAATACAAATTCTTTGAAATACTTCATTATCGCACGAACATGTACAAACAGCTGTTGTCTCAAACAAAATAGCTAATCAAAAAACCATCTCAAACAATAAATGTAACTACATTCAAAAATTGATGTACTTAATAAAATATGTAAACATCTTTATATATTATTTATTATGTTTTAGAGCTTTAAGAGTAAAGAGGTGGCATGGAAAGAAGCAACAAGTTATTAAAATTCATAGAAGTGTGAACAACTGATAAAAAAACAACAACTTTTCTCGCATTGTTTGCTCTTTCTGACTTAAGGAGATGGCAGACAGTTCTGGTCGTTATCTTCTTCGATTTAGATCTAGATTTTTCTTAGTTGTAAAACTATACTTAGGAACTCCATGTAATCTCATTGTAACCTCTTACTTTGTGGAACACTGGAGAACACCGTTTCCCCTTTGTCTCACCTTTAAACTGGCATATTGAGATCAAGGTTTCTACTATAGTGCATCGAGATATTAAAAATTATTTGCAAAATGTCAGATCTCTAGATCTTATACAATGTTTCATGAGAACGATTTTAAATTAGGATTTTCAGTGAACAGAAAACTGATTGAACACACACAGAAAGTCATAAGCTTTTTATTACAGTATGATAAAATCGAGAAACTTCAGACCGAACAGGCCGCCATAGGATTCATGAATTTCGAGCGAGAAATTTTATGCTGTCATTCAGCTGCTATTTACGCAGAAACAATAGATACTGTCCTATGTAGTAACTGAAGATAATCCTTTAAAGTTTCTAGGAAGTTTTGTGTTCAACACATGCGTGATTAGCTCATCGATGACTGAAAGTAATTCCATGTTCATTCGTCTCGTCATTTATTAAAGAGATCTGAATGGACCTATTTCAGTCTTGTATTTAACATCATCATTAGTAATCGAATCATTGCTATATCATTAGAATAGGGAATAAGAAGCATAATTGAAAGTTTGACTATTATTGCACAAACCATAAGAAGTCAAATTTCATCATCACAAAAGTTCAGCCAAGTGTATCATGTTAGTTTTTCTACAAAATGTAGCCTAGTCAAGCCCATACCATTGAAATCTACTCGATGAAAACTAGCCTGTCAATAGCTGCCTAACGTCAAGTTTCAAACCGTATCAAAAGTCTCTTGTTCTTGATCGAATCTCATTGGTTCGCTATGAATATTTTTATTTCTTTTTTTTTCAAATCTTCGCTATTATTTTGTTTTATCAATGTAAAACGAGAAAAATTGATATATATTCAATAAAAAAATTAACGTAAATGACCTTTTATTGTATCTTTGTCGTCATTATCTCAAAAGTTTCTACTACTGTATATTTTTCGTTTGTTGAACTATTTTACTCATTTCAGAAAAAAGGTATTTCTAATTAGTTTATTAATATGTTAAAATGATACTTGAGATAAATTCATTTCATAAAAGAGAAAAAGAAGATTCTTATTACATATGTATATATATATACCTATCTACAGAAATACATTGAGAACAATGAAAGACACACACACAAACTACAAAGATGATCTTTTATTTTTCTGATACTATGTAAGTCTGAAAGAAAACAGAAAAAGAAAAACTTCTAATCTGACAGATTATTTTTTTAATTATTGATGCCGATAATAATTCAGCATTGGATGTGTATGCCATATCCATTTAGCTTTTTGAGCAAGTATATCATTACGAAGATTTTGTGCAAAACAAATACCAAGTATCTTTTAAAAACAAAGATTTTTTAAAAAACAAATTTAAAAAAGAAAACGATTATTTTAGATTTATTTACTTGTAATACAGCAAGAACAACAACCACTATTGCAACTGGAAGAATGTGTCGTTCGAACCATTGAGATGCTTTCGGAAGACAACCATCGGTATAAATCATGTGTGTACCCTATAATAAGAATCGAACAAATATACTATGCGTTTTTGGATCATGCTTCAGTACACAGATACAGTAATATGTGAAAGTTCCTGCATTTGAATAAGCAACTTTGTTGGAAAATTTGGGACGAATTGTTTTAGAACCCTATAGAAGCTAAGGAAAGGTTGATCTGTATCTATGCAAACTGCAAATCATCTTAAGTATTCGTGCTTTAAAGAGAGAGTGTTTTGCCAACGAAATCTTAATTTCCTGGAAAGCGAAGAAGTAAAACATTTTACAATACCGAACGAGCAGTAGTCAATTTTCTATCATAATGACTTGTTTGGATAGAGATCATTATTTGGACTATCAAGTATAATATCACCTAGTATAGTATCACCTGAAACCCACGATTTGCCGATGGTTAAAGAATTCAGAAATCAACATCAAGCGAATTACGAAAAACAGAAAAATATCATGATATAGAGCAATTTTAGTCTCATGACTCTTCTCAGCTGGTATTTATTCAAGAAAACGTCGATGACCATTACTACATTAAAACTATTGCAGGTCATCTTATTAGGTACTCCAGAGGATAAATCTGTCTATATTCGAAATTTGGAGCAAGACAGAAGTTTCAGATACAGAGTTCGAGTAATGAAACAATTTTTACTGAAATAAGTATCTAGAACAATCGTCTGGTATTCAAATACTTCTGACGTAAACCCAATCGAGAAGCTCTAGTCAATCTTCCAAAGTTTTATTCAGAAGCGAAAACCGTCAAATCTCGATGAACTGAATCTATTTTTATATGAAAAGTACTAAAAAATCAGCTTCTTCATTCTAAATCATTTGATGAAATCTCAATGATAAGCTTTGATTAGTTCGTAGGAAACGAGATTCACATATTAATTGTAGTACTTTTGTGCGTTGTATTATGCCACATTTGTGAATATGATTTATTTCCATATTTATCACATCTATCTTGAGAAATAGTTGAAACATCGAGAGACAAGACTTTTGCACCCTACTGTGACTCTCATGGTTCTTTCGAGTCATAAAGTAAATTCATAATTAAGTCCTATTTATATACTCTATCTAAACTATAATATAAACTTACAGCTGATGATTCTAAAGTTCCATAGCCACATTGTTTGTTATTCTACGAGCGAAATAAATAAATAAATAATTTAATTCTATATTCTTAAACAATCGAAAATAATCATTTACATGAAAATATTCTGCTCGACAACAACTAGCAGGTACGCCACATGCTTCAACACTTCCAACAATTTTTGATGAACAATTAAAATAAATATTACTTTCCCAATTTCGATAATTATTAACTCCACAACAATGTAACCAATCGCGTTGTATCCAATCAATCATATTTTGTAAATCAGGATCATCACGATAACTTTCAATCATAATCATTAATTGTTTTTCACCTTCATTTTTAACCTAAACAAAAACAAAAAGAATTTCATATAACAATACAACAAATTAAACAAACAAGCAAACCTTTTCGCGATATATAAAAACTAATGTACCAAATGCAAGTTGAGCAAAAAAAATAATTGCCAAAGCGAAACTGAACTACAAAAATAAAAGAAAAAAACCAAACAGAAATTTAGAACTAAAGAAAAAAGAAATTTTTCTTACAAAAAGTAATAAACAAGTATTTTCTCTCAATGATCCAACACATCCAGCAAAACCAATACAAAACATAAAAACTCCAACAAGAACAAATACTAATGCTGGATCAAAAAATAATGTTCCACGCATTGTTAAACGACCAAAATTATCAAATGTATCTTTTTCAATCCAAGCATATATACCAATAGCTGTAATCATAAAACCAAGAATCTTAAATACAACAAATTTTATAAAGTTAATGGTAAGAAAATATTTACCCAAAAAAGAATATTAAATCCAAACATTAGATATCTAAATAATCAAAAAAAAGAATAAATTTTACAAAATAATTAAAGAGAAAAAGTTTAAAAACTAAATATAAAAGTTTCATACTTGATACACCGACTAATTTCAGTGTCATCGCGCCGTGTTGTACGTGTGACTTTTTGGAAACGAGGAGCCATAGAAAATAATTTATCTGAACCGTCAATTATCTGTGTTGATGATTTAATATAAGGTGTTGAAAGATATCGTCATGTTTCAACTATAAGGATACATTTCACGTGAATCTTTTCCAAGGAAATTTATTTTGTATCTACTGATTCTCAATTGGTAAACTTTTCTTCTTCCAATGATCTATGAGAAACAGATTAACATAGCGATAGATGTCATTAGATAAATCAATTGAACAATGTTCTAGAGGCTTGTTTACCACCTAAGTTGATGATTACGACGACCATAAACGGGCCATATTTCACTCGTTTGGTAGCGACCGTATTACGGCCGTCTTTAGGTAGATATGATCGGATACGGTAACGTTTACCGCTGGGTACTGCCATGAACCCTTGCAATTGGTGTCAGACAAAAAAAAAACATTCTATGAATGAATTCAACGGGCCTATTTTATAATTCAGCTCCACCATTTTGCAGTTCGCACTAAACAGTCAACAAAAAAACCATAAAGCAGAAGAATAAAACGCCCTTTTTCCACAAAAAGCACATTTTTCTCCTACGAAATCAACTGAAAAAAAAACAATTTATTATTAAACATCATTCACAATACCTTTCTCTATGTACGACGATCACAACAATGAAGAAGCCACCTTATTTACAGAATTTTAAAAAAATGCCTGTAAAGGTGTTTTTTTCACAAAAAATCAAATTTCTCCTTAGAAATCATCGATAACAATGCAATCGTTCACAAGAAAGTCTTAAAGTGCCCTTTTCTATGAAAATCTATGCGTTAGGGTGAAGAGAGCAACATATTTACAGAGTTTCAAATAAAGGCATTAATAAGAAGTTTAGAGCACCACGTGAAATGTTTTTCGACTGTGCAGGTGTGACTTGGCAGATATAGGTGTTTTTGTTCCGAGTTAAAAACTTATCACTGTTCATGGATACCTAAACAATACTTGCAGCCGGAGTGTAGATAATGAATGATTTTTAGAGAATTTATAAACCTACTTATTCCAACCTGAGTCAGTATTGATATTGAAATGAATGGAACGATGTGGTGACATGCATATACGTATATAGGGTGAGATCAGTCCGGTCTGTTTCATGTGTCGCTTAATTGCAGTAGAAGGAATTTTATGTATAGAAAACGAATTTCATCTAAAATTATCTCTTACTCTAACCGATCAAACATATATTACTAGGTCTACGAGACTCCACCCCACCCCAGCTTCTCTACGTTTAAACGGGCTAAGCTAGTGGAACCAATAACTCTTCAAGCGTTATCCACGTAGGATATCCATAAGTCTTCAAGAGCTCTCGTAGTGAGGTATCCACAAGCCTTCAAGGACTAGGCTAGACCGGTACTCGTAGCTATTTAAGAGCTATCCTGGAGGAGTACCATCAACTCCTCAAAGGTTATCCAAGCGTACCCGTGAGTGTGTAGAGGTCATCATAGATGTTATCCATTGCTGTTTTTGATCTTGGTGTGGTAATATGTATATCTCTTCCTGGCGTTAGTAGTCGTGGTTACCTGAAGTGTTGAAAGCGTTTGTAGAGGTGGTACTGCCAACTCTGGAAAAACTGTGATGTAGTGGTCCTAATAACTGCTGAATGTGCTTATGGAGTTTGTTCAGTTTAGTCTGTAAGGTGTTTAGTTTGTGGTTGTCTTAGGATTTCATAAGTTCCCCGATATTTTCGCCATAGTTTCTCATTTTGCTGAAAGGAATTTTGTATTCATTTCTTTAGTTCCCATGATGAGTTGGGTAGATTACTCCCTAAAATAGAGCTTTTGAGATAATTGTAGTATACCCGCAACTGTCATAAATGTGATAACTGATACTCTCGTTGGTTTCCTAGTGATCCTTTTTCTAATCGACGGCTTGTGGCTTTGGTGTACTTGCAAAGAGATATCTGTGGAAGTTACCTTTTTCCAATGATGCGTGAATGAAAAGGTTCAGGGTTGAGAAGTTATATCGTACATCACTGAATTGAAGATCTTTGCCATTCAACAATTGGTAAAAATACGTTTGTGTCTCCTTGAAAGAATAGTGTGCTGAAAATGAATCGCATTCAAGAGAATTTTTTTAATGTTGATAGATTTTCTTCTAAGAGATAAGAATTTTGCGGTTTCATTTGTTGAAAGACGCTATATCTTTTCTAAAATACCATGACTGGCGTTTTTCGTTGAACTGACTTGATGCTAGTGTATTTATGGCGGGCACCATTTCCATAATTTGAATGAACTATGGAAGGAGCCTTTCTATATATTTGAGACGATTCACTTCTATGAGACATCCAAAGCGTTTTTTTTTGTTTTTTGCTAGCAATGGTTTGAGTCTGGAAAATTACAAAGAGGGTGTGGGTGGCAGCTTCTTATGATTGGAATTGGGTTCAAAATTTTTATTTTTAGCACTACCGAAACTTGGATAGAGAACCTTTCAGGATGATTGCGGCGAGTGTCTGTATCAAGAACTACACTATAAATTTTCATGCTTATTTTTCTTTTGTGATTAAGAAACTGAAAATCAAGAATTTTTATTTAAGACTCCCATTAGAATATTTTACTGATCTCGATTCTAATTTGAAAAAACCGACATTTCCGGTTGTTTTTATAGATTTTTATATATGCATATTCGTACAATAAACGTAAATTTCGTCCAATTACAATTTAATCCTTCTTTTGATTGTATTTTTTTAATCGTTGCTTTCCTATTTCTAGTCTGAGTTCTGAAATGTTATTATTGTAATTGTCTATATTGGAAGAACCAACTTAATGACTCTCAGGGAGTACAAGCACCAATCTTAAATTTTAGTCTTAATCTTACCAGAATTTGCTTGCTTCTAGGAAAAAATCGAGATCAGAAGTTAAACAAAAATTTAGCCTGAAGTACGACAGGGCCTAATAGAAGATTTTGACCATCACCGAGATCGGCATCGAAAAATAATTTCAACCGAGAATAGAGAAAGGTGTTTCTGCAGTTATGTTTTTGGGTAGCTCGGATGTCTGTTAGTTCAGACTCTCGACGATTCATTATGTATACCACCAAAGATAGCACTTGACGACTTATGGCTACCCCCTAGATTGCAAAAAGAAAAGTTATAGGTCTCTTATGAATGATGGGGGCGAACACTTCTTCTTAGCTGAACTGTTCGAATAGATCTAACCAGATCATTGTTTTGAACAGTTCAACAAATTTAAACTTTTACCGAATTTTCCAGCTTCTATATGTAGCTTTTGGGACCATATCTGGAATGCTAATAGCATTATCTGTATAGCAATGGACATCATCATGGGCGCTATTTCCATTGCCTAGACTGCTACAGGGTTTTTGTATAAATAGACTGTGAAAATGTATAAGTACATGTATTCGAATCGAAAATAATACAATGCTAGGTCTAACATCTTCCATTGGCTAAGTGTTTAATGATTGGGATAAAGCATTTTTCTTAATGGGTAATGTTCATGGTCAGTCAGTAGCATTGGAACTGTGCTATGCTAATGTTCATTCTGATTGGGAAACGCTGAACTTTCATTGAACCGTTTACAGCTGACGTATACGGTGAATTACAACTATGTCCGACAGCCGTTTACAGTCGTCGTATTTTCATGGTAGCCGTTAACGGTCGGGCATTATGGACCTGGGTTGTACTATTTCACCAGGAAAGAATCTTTGTTGTTTCGTGCGAATCATTATTCTAATTCATATTAAGACAGTTCAACAAGCCAAGCATGGTTCACTTAAATCGTTTTTCTCTTTTATTTCATTTCTGATCTGTTTACTATGTTAATCATCTAAGTATTTTACAAATTAAAGCATCAAATTCCATATAGATCTCAATTTATAAATGATTCTAGCAAGATAAATCTCTGAAATCTAGTGTAAAAACGATGCAATTGTGTTACTGAACTCTCATGTTAAAGATTGAATGACCATATATATATATATATTATTAAATAGTTCATGAAGAAACTTTCTTAGGTGTCATTTAGTTCTTAAAGTGGGACTTAGTGCTTTTTGTCGTCTTTAGTGATCTATGTCTACCATAAAAAGTGTTTGTGTTTATGGTCTGTGTCTGAGGAGATTGAAAGCTTTTTTTAATGAATTTTCGTTATAGGATCCTACGTTTGCAGCAAGACCATTGTATCGAATTTAAATCTGAAACTTTGTCTACATTAAGATCTCAATTAGACTAGGTTACATGAAAAAGTTATAGGATTTTTAGAGTATGTCTCTAGAACAAAGTTGAGGTCCTTTTTCATCAATGACCTACATAGGATGCATTTTTTGTATTTCTTCATATTTCGAAGAGGTTTGGTTCAAACATTATAAATCTGTTTAATACAAACTAGTTTAATTGAGATCTTTATTTAGACAATTTTTTTAGCTAGAGATTCAAAAATATGGTCTTGATGCAAATGCGGAGTGCTACGTTGAAAAATCACTAGCAAATGTTCGATCACCTTGGAAACATATAATAATGTCGAATTCTTTTTCAGTAGACGTTCTTCGCTAAAGTCTACTAGATATACTCAATTCCAATTTAAAATAAAATGATATCTTGAAATGTTCCTTCGTCAATTATCAATAGTTAGAAAACCAAAATAGTCTTTAGGGTGTCAGTGTGAATTTAATAGAAAAGGATACCGAAAGCTACGTCCACACCCTGCAGCAGTCACTTTGGACAACATTGACAGCCCACCTGAATCACTTGAACATTAGCAGCGGCGATTCAGCTGATCAACATACACATTTATCTTTACTTTATAGGACACGCTTAGATTTTAACCATAAAAAACAATTAATTATAGTCTTGTAAAACTCAATATAGTTTATTTTCATCTTAATTTCGTATACTGATCATAAAGGAAATATTCAAATTTCACTTTTACTTAAGTATATACGGATGAAAATGACGATTAAAAAAAAGGAAAATCATTCAAAGCAGTTTCTGCATTGATAGATGAATGCACGCATTTTTACATAAAGAAAATTAAACGAGAATATTACTGCATAAAAAAAATGGATAAGCACAATAACCGTAGAATATGAGATAGCTTGCTTTGTTTAAAATATCATCAATGTAGAATTAATAATACTTAAAACTAAAATGGATTATCGCTAATGCCAACCACTTTACGACGAGTATCTAAGTAAAAAAAAACATCTTTCCTTTTTACGTTAACCATAAAAACGGTCTTACATGTCCGTGCATTATTATCTTCGTCTTCTGCTTTTTGTTTCGGTAGATTATTTTCAAGTACTTGAAGTTCTTTTCTTAATTTGATGTATTTATTAAATAATGTTTCTCGTTGTTTTGCTTCCAGAAATGAATTAAAAAACTGTTTTAGAATTAAATTTGTTGAGTCCTAAATAAATTTAAGATAATAATAAAAAAACAGTTTTGTTTTATGCTTTATTATTTACTTCTTTGCTACCAGCAGCATTGATGATCGAGATTAAGGTGGATGTCGTAACAATAATTAGTATAAGTGTGAGGATTTTCATTGTTATTTAATGTCTTATCTAAAAACTAAATAAGATTTTTAATGAGTAAATAGTGATGAAACTGAGAAAGATTGGTGGATGTTGCCTAGCTGATTTGGTCTAATTAGAACAATAAGTTCGATTGACCTGAAATTTGCAGCAATTATATATATAGTGCGTATTTTTATGCCATTCCTGTACGTTTCAGCTTGATTCACTGACTTTAAAGCTAGCTTTGAGCTTGACTATGCGCAGACTATTTTGGATGGTTATATTGAATTTCCGGTGTTTATTCTTTTAAATCTTGAATCATATAAAAGAAAATATTTCAAGATGTTAAATATATATCATCTGATAGAAAATTTAATTGTTGGACGAGTTTGAGTTAGAGTAAAAAGATTGCGGAAAAAATTAAGGATATTTTCTAGCTGAATCTGAGTTTACATACATCTGGGGTATTATGTCATTGGTGTAGAAGGTGTTTTAACCTAATTTTACGGAGTATCGGAGTATCATTATTACTGTGGACAGAGCATTCATAAAGTTACACAATGACATAAAAAAGGTTTGAGGAAAATTTTGTCTTCTGTCTCGCGTTCAACCACCGTAATGTACAGTACGATAAAATGTCAATAAAATTCTGTAGATGTTGTTGCACAGTTAGCCATCTTAACAATAATTTTTTTTATACAAAATATATGACACATTCTGAGTTAGTATAAAAACTTCAGTCGAATAGCATGGACTTCAGAAAAAAAAACTCTTCTTTGACAAAGACCTATTCATCCCTCTTTAAGACAAAGTGTTTGAAAAGGTGATCTGAAAGGGTACAGACAAGTTTTTCTTGAAGAAAACGTTTTTCACTGAATCATATACTATTTGACTCACCTTCTTATTCTAATTCGGAATATATCATTTTGTATAAAAGTAAAATAACTATCGTGACAACCGCTAAATGCACGAGAAGTTCTGCAGGATCTCACTGATATTTTGTCATGCTGCTCATTACGATTGTTAAAAATGAGATAAGACAGACTGTCCCCATGACATTTTTATGTCATTGTGTAGCTTTTTAAATACTCTATCTATATATATAAAGTTACTTCGAAACCCTATAAAATGAGGTTAAAACGGCTTCAACACTAAAGGAGATGACCCCAAAATTATATATAAATTCGGAATTAGCTCGATAATATTCTCAAACTTTTTCGACAATCGTTTTATTCTGACTCAAACTTATTCCGAAATTGAGTTTTCTATCAAATGGTCTATGCAACAGCTTGACACATTCTCTTTTATATGATTCAAGATCTAAAACAAATGACCTCAAATTCGACCTAACCATCCAAAATATTGTCTAGATAGTGAAGATCGATACTAACAATAAAATCAATGAATCAAATTGGAACATATAGAAGTGGCATAAAATAATGCACTATATAGTTGCTAAAAATTGAAGGTCGATCGAACATATTTTTTTAATTACATCAAAGTAACCAGGAAACATATCATCTCTTTTCCTGTTCAGTATAATATGCAAAAACTCGCTTGTGCTATTTTTTTCTTGCTCACTCTTTTGTGTGCTTCTTCTATTCTGTAAAAGTGAAATAGATAACAATTTCTTTTGTTTAATATGAAATAAATCAGTATACAAAAACTAGTTATTATATTTCTTGACGATCAATTTTGTCTTCTGAAAGAAATAAATGAACTTGTATTGATAAATTCGCCTAGTAATCATTTTTAAATACATACTATAAGATTGTTAATTTTAGGATTGATCCAAGATTTTTCAAGATGAGATTTTCAGTGTTCTTATATAGGTGATGAGTTTAGAAGATTTTCTTTTCTTTTTACATATTAAAAATGAAGAGATTGAAGGGAATACTAGGAAAACTGATAAGCGTTGCTCATTTCTCATGAGAGCAACACGAATCCTAGTGAAAGAGTTGTTCAAACAAGGACGTCCTCCACTTAGTTTACCAGGGCGTTGCGATGCATTTTGATAATGCTGATAGTGAGAATCTTATCGATGCCGAACTAAATGTGTAGACTATTTAGTGAACAAAATCAATTTGAAAACTACCAAGTCGAAAGACCATTTAATGAGGTTTTTTTGTTCGGACACGATCGAATATGTTGGCATTCTATTATAACGCATAGAATTAACCGATTCTTCTTCTCATAGATTATTTACGTTTTCGTCGAAGTTTCCTGTTTCTTTTTCAACGAAAAAAGAAAAAAGATTGTTCTATAGTATATCATAATCGAACAAAAATGTCACCAGATTACAAGTCGTTCATATCAATCAGAAGACAAAACAATACATAGGATGTTATAAATGAACATATATCATCGAAGATAAGTTTACATAAAACATAATATGAATTAATCGAAGATCTATGATCGATTAACATGTATTCGAATTCAAAACTGAATAGAATAGTTGATGCATCACTTCATAAATTAACAAATTTCAATAGAAAAGAATACTGATATAATAGTAATTCAAAGACTTCCTTATAATGTAGACAGATATATACTCTAATTTAGTTTAACAAAAATAGATAAAATATTCTGAGAAGACCTTTCTAATACTACATTATGTTGCTACCCATGTCGCCACTTTTTAACGACTGCGTCGCAGTTGCGCGTAACTGCGACGCATTAATCGCAGTAAAAAATCGATGTATTCGACTGCGATCGACTGCGACGCAGTTACACGTAACTGCGAAAAAAATATCGCAGTTATGCGTAACTGAGTCGCAATTTGATCGCAGTCAAACATATGAGTACTTACCTGGAAATTTACAAGTATTAGTTCTATGAAATCGACTTATATATGTATATATAAATATAGGCAGGTTTGTAAGTCATGACTTCCTGAATGTAGGTGTGATGGCTTGGATTACATTTATAGAACAAAGAAAGCACGTATTCAATATTTTCTTTATTATGTTTGTTGTATTGTAACATATTATTGATATCAAATTTTATTTGTGATGCGCAAGGTAATTTGATATTTCAATTCAATACTAGTGAGTTTTGTCTCTTTAGGTACTTCAAGCAAAAATTTGATAGCAAGAAGTTCTTGTACTCATTATGATACCATTTGAAGAAATATCAACCAGATCAATATATATGTGGTAGTACTGAGCTATAAGCATGTATGAATTGTCTTTGACAGGTGTGTAAAAATAGCTCCAACATTTTGTTGAATCTTATGATGGATTGTATACTGCTGTTATTAACATCTAATCTAAAGCATTTTTTAATAGTTTCGATTAATATGTGAACAAATAAAAAAAATTACTTGTCCAAAAACTATTTATAAGTCCAATGAAATTCTTTGAATCAACACTTTATTAATACAATGATACAATGAACTTGTTTTTAATCTTTTGTAGTTAATGTTACCAACTACAGTTATGCTGATTAAATTTTAAAGAAAAAAAAATGCGTAATAATAAGAAAATTACTCTAAATTATGGCGAGTTTTCAACTTCATTTCTTCTTTTTTTTCAGTTATTAATAGTCTTCAATGAGACTAAGAAGATTTGAAATGTTTTTATGCTTATGCCTTTTTGTTTCCGTGATATGATTTATCTTATGTCGAAAACAGTAATGGAAGCTTTTTGTCAATTTTGCATATTATTTTTCACATATCATCCTAATCGCTTGGAATTTAAAATATGACAAATAAATAATTTGATCAGAATTTTTTCCAACTATAGACCCTGATAATGGCATTCATCAAGCGATTTCTCACACACAGGAAATGCCGCGAGAACTCACTAGCATTCATGCTAAAATTAAAATACATCAGTATGACTATTAATCACCGGTCGTATAATATTAAAAGTTTCTGGAGTACTCTTATAATTAACGTATTGCATCCATTGTATGTAGACATAAAATCAAATAACAAAACAGATAGACATACATAATGAAAATTTGAGAGAATAATGAATATGAGAGCCACAGATATCGCAAGATCTTAATGCCTGTTTTTTAAAACAAATAATAGAGCTAGAGAAATGTTCATTGTTAGAGGAGAAAGTGAACTATTTCTTTTTGTTTATATAATAGAAATAAGATTTTATTGATTTGCTTAAAAGATCAAAGAAAAGAATAAACTTTTAAAAATAAGAAAATGTATTGTTAAGACAATATATAATAGACAAGAAATTGTACAGCTAAATAATCACTAAGTTCATATTATGATCAATTAATTCTCTCCAACAATTTCAAATATGTTGCGTATCTTCTTGTATCATCTCTTTTCGTTCGACACATTTTTTCTGCACACTTAAAAGATTACTGAAAAAAATCTTCCCTTGGAGAGAAAAAAACTAAACTAAGCGGTAATGGCACTATCCAACATTTCTAAAACGAGTGTTATCATCAGTAGATAAGTCAGAAGGATGCTGTTGATCAGCAAGTATTAGTGTAAGTGTAAGTATCTGACTTCTCTAATTCCGCATGCTCTTCTACCTCTGCACATATAGCCGAATTAAAAGAGATGGTATCACTGACTATATGCAAATATTGTCACCTTCAATCTAAACTTATATGTAATGATTGATGAGATAAAGAAATATTATTTATTCAACATAGCCATGATAAAACGCCTTGACAACAATATGAATAAACTTCCATGGAGTAAAACATTTATTGTCAGAATCAACACATTCTTGACTTAATGAAACGATATGAACGCAGTTGCTTGTCATGAAATGAATATTTTAATAAGATTGGTAAAAAAATGTAGTAATATTTTGCTGTCACTGTCTTATGAACTATTGAATGATATTCTCATGTCTACTGTCATGATAAATTTCTCTAATACAAAATTATATTTATTTTTCTTCATAAAATACTGCTGGATAAATGAGTGTCGATAAAAAAAGGACCAAACCGTGTCATTTTATGTTGTTTAAACTTTATTCTTTTCTTGGGTCTTTTAAACATAAATCAAATCTCATTTTTACGATGTTCAAAATAAAAAAACTATGTAACTT